GTTCTTTGACTTTTAGGACTGATTTGTGCACAGATTTCAATTTTGTATGTACGGTGGATGTGGTCCTTTGAAATTTGTTCAAGAGTGTTGTAACAATGTATTGCAGCGTTTAAAATAGATTGTTGATGGTAAAATGTTTGTTTGAGGTCTTTGTTATATACGAACGTTCTGTAACTGCTGAGACGTTCTGAAATATTTGTTGCTGTTAATCCTCACTTGACACACGTGAAAGCCGTGACTCCTATTAGTCACTGTATACACTATATAATAATATTACATTAATTTTTACAAGAATTTTTGTAAAATAATGTAAAATTTTCGTTTTTGTAAAAGTTGATGTTTGTTCATGCGTAAGATAGATCCTCATTCCTCGAAACATTGAGGCATACTGAACGAAGTGACCCAGCTATTGTCATGCAAAGGTTAAAGGGGCAACACAGGTGGTATCGTTACCTGACTACGAAAGTAATGAAAATGTTTTGGTTCTGTTCGTGAAGTGTAACTCTTATGAATGAAATGTTACATAACCTGCTGGTAGATTTGACTACGATGAATTGTTTGAAAAAAGGTTTTACGAAGCAGCAATTCCTATGCCAAATTTTACTTCTTCCATATGTACCATTAAAAATTATTTCTTGAAAAAAAAGAAGAAACAGTAATGTAAATTAGTAATGCATGAATAATAATGGTATATCTTCATTTTACTGGCTACATCTGCATTGATCTGAAAAATGTAAAAGTCGAGGCTTAACATACAGTTTATTGTTTAACCTAAAAATTGGATCGACCGATATCACTGTTAAGTACGGTCTAAAAGGTGCAAGGTAATTTTTCGGGGTACGAAAAGTTACATTTCGAAAAATTTCCAAAATCCTCTAAGTCTTTTAGCGCCGACCTATCCTGTTGAATTTCTTATACCTCGGTTCGCTGTAAAATTGCGTGTCAAACAGCATTCCATCGTAAAACGGTCCCGTGTTCGTCTGGCGATCCGCAGGAAATAGGGAGTCATATAGAAGGATAGTGGTTGCATCGTAAAAAATGCAGGGTCGACGTAATAGGAAGTCGAAATACTGTACGGTTTCTCGTCGCAGCAATTTCTTTTTTTCCTCCATCGCGCTCAACGGATAATTCGATTCGTGTGTCGAAGGTGCCACGGAAAAAATTCCCCCCGATTTCGGTCGTTTTTATTTCGCGGCGTTCGTGGCAGAAGTTCAATTCGACGCGCTGTTAATAATCCGTCGTATCGATCGAACGTGGTTGGTGGTGGCGTAAAGCTCAATTTCGGTCTCCATAAATTATTCATTGTTCACGTAGTGAGCGTGCGCTGTCACCCCTGGTGCGCGTGTAAGTAATACGTATGCGGAATACAATACGGAGAGATAATTGGTACGCTATCGAGTGCGTATCCTTCGATGGATCGATTAAAATCATAAATCCAGCCTTCTGAAACCTGACGAGCTCGTGTTCTCCGTGACGCGTTGTTAACGGAAATTTCACCGACACGGTAGAAAAATAAAATTTCCTATCACGGGAACTTCGTGAATCTGTATATAAATTGCTGTTTATAAATTTATCAAAATGAAAAATTGATACTGAACCACTTTCGGAGAGACTTTTCGGACAAACTTTTTTCTCTTATGCATTGATTAATGTTGTTACTCCGAAGTGAAGTAAAAAGTTATTGATTTGTAATAGATGAACCGTGTTAGTAGTAAACTTCGTTTTGTAAAGTAGTTCTTGTATAATAATCAGTAAACAGATAGTGTTACACGATTATTTCAAATGCGAGACCGTACAAGTGCAAAATGTACGATAATGTTACACAGTACTGGACACCAGGGAACATCATCCAGTTAGAATTAATCGAACAGGAATACGAAAACCCATTTACAAAATGCAGAAATAATTTCTGTTTTGGAACGTGCAATTTCACGTAAAAGCCTGTTCGATGTTCATTCAGTTAACAAAGATAGAAAATTAATCGTTCGGGGGAATATCTACTGATTGTGCTTACAGCATGTACACGAATTGAGCCTATTAACGAAATGTGTAGTATCGATTTTCGTGGCTACGAATAGAAGTGATTGAAGAAGCGCATCAATCCTAATCCGATAATAGAAGTAGAATTGCCTTCCTTTGTAAGACCAGTAGAATAGGGCCCTCTGTAATCGGCCCACTAGAATAATCCCGATCATTATATGGCCAAGAGAGGTTTCATTCTGTTTGATAGAATGCAGAATTACACTCGACAAGAATACCTGTAATTTTCTGTATACTCAGAAAATGTAACACACCTTGTCGTTAATAATTCGATACTAATGTCACGATTACTTTCAATTTATAACATTACAAAACCATACGAAATTCTGTTTCTATATATGGTTATGTTTCTATATATGGTCATATGGTTCACCCGAGTTTCGAAAATTGTACCCTCATTGAAATTAATACAATAACTACAAATAATCCTTAACCTAACCGTTACTACGAACAGAATTTCCAATTGAAAGTCGAACAAAGCGATGTGTTAATACTCCCACCGCCGCTACACGCCGATCTAGAACCAGCATCCCATTGAGCAGCCTATTCCTAAAATGCAAACCCTATATCCCAAGCGATTCGGACGATTTACCTTCAGAGGATCTCCCAATCCCGTAGTCCCAATTCGCTGGGTGTACCAGCGCCGTTTAAATAATCGTTACTATCTGGTAATTCGCAGACTCATTTCGGTCGACAAATGAATCGACCACGAGGAACCTGGCGACCGTGGTCATTATACCCCCTTCGGTTACAACCAGGCCACGTGCGCGAATGTAACGGAATTTTGAGCCGGAGACAAAGTTCGTCGACCAGGTACCGTTCGGAAATAGGCGACGATCCCGCTGGTGTATCGGTTGGGCCATACCCACTTTTCAAAATGGCAATTCACAGAAGTTCCTGGGACGATCGAGCGGTCCGGTTTCGAAGAGTCGTTATCGCTTTAGCCGGAACACATCTAAATTCGCCTGGACCTCGAAGAGTCTCATCCACGTTTGCCCTTATTCGGTTAAGCCCGGACTGTCCTGCACTTAAGCTTGCATAATTTTCGTCCTAACTAGGGAGAAATTACGCCTCCGTTCTGTTTGCGCAAGGAAATTCGTGCGTCCACCGTCCCGTATCAAACCCCCAACCACCCACACCACACCCCTTACACCATCCCCGCGACCTTCTACTCCTCTTCCGTCTGCATCCACGAGCAGCTTTCCCAGCCGTTCCGGAATTAACGTCGAGTGCAAACGTTCCGTGGGCACGAGGGTCCTCGAAACCGGAGCCTTTCTCACATTTTCTTCCCGGATTTCGCTCCGGCGGAGAAAGGAATGCCCGGTTTGCCGGGTCCACGGTCTGTTAAGGGAAACTTTTTACCTCCCGGTCTTTTCTCGTGTCTACTGTTCTCTCGATGTTTCGGATAGATTTACCCCGTTGTTTCGTCCACGATGTCTCTTTTCAGGATGATTAGACGTTTCTTTCCGGCGGAGAATGACGGAAAATTGATCGAAAGTTCGCGGGCTTGGGACGGGGAAGGTTACTTTGTGAGAACTGTATCACTGGTAGATGGTCTTCTTTTTGTTCGTATTGAAGAAGTAGAAACGGCCAGGGAAGCTTTCTTCTTGTTTGTGCTTTCTGTATATATATCGTGAATTTCGATTGAGATGAATGCTGGTGTCAGGCGTTTGATGTCGAACTTCAAGGGTATTAACGACGAAACTTCCATCGATAATGATTCGATGAAACCATATCCCAGAAGCAGATTAGGATGCTGCTAATGAAGTCAATTACTTGTCGGATCAATGTTTGAGCTGCTTAGTCGTGCATGTATGGAAGCTTTTGATTCCAATCGATTCAGACGAACGGTACGCGGTGAGGACCGATTCAAACTTGAAAGATCCGATTCAAACCAATTGAAAACCGACGGATTCGCATCGTAACAGGTAACAAGGGAGGATTCAAATCAATTCAGAGCCGAAAGTTTTGCATCAGAGCAATCCAGGACCAAAGAACCTGATTCAGCTTGAATGGTGAAGGGAACCCCATTCAGGATAATCCAGAACTGACAGATTTGAATCTGAACCTCCAGACTAGAAGAACAAGTCTGAGGTCCCCAGACGTTGAGGACTAAACACTAAAACTACCGAACCCATAAAAAAAGTAGGAATTAGTACGTCAAAATCTGTCATTTTGACCGGTCGTGGTCGGTTTAATGTTAAGCTCAAAGGCCTCCAAATTCGAAGACTCAACATGGAGGTCTCTAGACTCCAAAAACTCGAGCACGCAAGTCCATGACCGCAGGCAACCAATTTCTGAAGCTCGAGGTCTGAGGTTTGGGCCCTTAGATCTGCTATTCCTGGGGTTTTCGGCTTTGGTACTTGAGTACAGGTGATTTCAGGCTTGAGACTCAGGTCAGTGGATTCTCCAGTTTGGGTCTACAGAGTGTGGGGATCTCAAGCTTGGGTTCTTGGGTCGCAGTATCTTGGAGCTTGGGTTCTTGGATTTTAGATCCCCAAGCTTAGCTCAACGGGTTTGGAGAAGTCCAGGATTTGGTCCTTTGGTTTGGATATTTCTAGTTTTGAGTTTATAGTTTTTGCTGATTTAATCCTTTGTTTCATGGATTCTCGTTGCTGGGTCTGTGGGTCTAATTGGGTACTCCGAGTCCCTCGATTGCTCAGTCGAGACTATCAGGCGTGGATTTATTTGAACCGAGTTCATTGGTACTGTGTCGACTCTAATCAAGCCTCCCCTTACTCAATTTCTGTGATACAAACAATTTAAAAACGAGGTTTCAAATTCGAACTGTGACTAGGATAATATGAATTCCATCAATAATTGTGAGGCTGTTTGTTGATCCTCTTAAGTTTCGTGAAGTTTTCACCAAACAATTGCACACAGACACATTAAAAAAAAATATCGTATACAATGTTGTTCAATTAACGTAGTAATAAATTAAATATAATGTGTCGTCTTACCAGTATTGTTCTCCGGAATTCCGCCTTTTACCGGCCAGCCAACGGTTATGCTCGCCTTGGACGAGAAGCTGAAGTACGCCAAAAACTGGGATCTCGTCGTGTTCTCGTTTATCCTGGAACAAGTGAATACAACAGAAATTAAAATATCATAAATAGCAAAATAAGAAGAGAAGACCTATCTGCAAAAACGAGAGATGTGTGAATGTCGTTACAGGCACAACTAATCTTTAACTTTAAACTAAATGTACAAACATACTAGGGACAAAAATATTATTTATGATTAAAGCCCCAAAATAATTACTTATATCATCTTCCTGTGCAAAATTTACTTCACGATCAATATATTAAAGTATTACCATTAAAGTATTCTTTTAGAACTGCAACAAAATTATACCCACACCCCGATCCTTCATTCGCAAGAGAGAATCACCGTCAGGCTCCACCAAATATGTTTCTTCCAATCGCTTTAAAACGCTGAGGATAATCGAAACAGCAGCAACAGCGGCGCACGTCCGGAAAAACGGAAACGTGTCCCGAAACTAATAGAGTGTATCGACGTGTTATTACGCAGAACCGGTCAGTCGTGCACTGAAAAGTATTGGTACTGCTGCACGAAGTGCCCCCCAGGAAGCTAGAACTCGGGGGAAAGTTTGTCGCGGACGACGATGACGAAGAGGAGGGCGGTGTGCACGGCCGAATATGTCTTCTTCGGTTCGAAAAATCGCCTCGTCAGAAAAAAAGTAGCGTCGGGCGTGACGATTCCACGAGATTGGTCGAACGTCGTTCCAGGCTCAGGTACGTTCGTCCTGTTGGGGCAGCCGGTTTAAAAAGCAAGCACGTCGAAGTCTTTCGTCGAATGGACGTGAATCGATATCTGAACTTCTGCTGGAGAGTGGAAACTCGGTCATTCGCGAAGTACGTACCAAATAAAAAAAGGGAAGGGAAACGGGGGGCTTTCGCGCTCCAACGTTCACGAGCTTCTTCCTTTAATTAAACCGAGATATCTCGCGAGGATTTCTGCATTTTCGAGTGTCTTGAGGAATGGGCTGGGAACCGTTGGACCGAACAGAAAAGTTTTCGCGTTTTTCAGGAGATGACCGAAGCCAGTGGAGTATCCTCTGCCTGCAGTTGGGTCTGGCGACACGATTGTATAGAGCACTGAGCACAATTCTGAGTTTTTTTTATGACCAATAATTTGTGTGTAATTTAATCTCTCTTGTCCCCTCCGTCGGGGACGAGGCTAGCCTACTGGAAGTTTATTTTATGCCATGGTGGGAATGACTATGTACTTATAACTGTAACTTTTGACAAGGAAAATAAAATGTAGTAATGTTTAAAGGTAATATATACCTATGATAGGAAATACGAATGAAAAGAATTGATTACACAAAGATACGAATTGTGCATCGGAAAGTTAGACACTCACGTTGATAAGGATTAGGATCCCCGCTTTATTTCAGAAACATATAATTTTATATATATTGTACATCTTCTAAACAATACTCATTACTTCCCCCAGTAGTCTCGTAACATTTCATTGCGTTTAAATAATATCTGACAAGTGTCCCAGTACTTGGGATTGGAAATGTAGATTCGGCAAGGTACAGTTGGAAATTTGTTTCTGATTATGTAGAACGAGTTGAGGTAATCTATTTTTGATACGAGGTGTATGTTCAAAATAAGAAAAAGATAAGCTAAATTTATGTTGACGCGAGGTGTATGCTCGGAACCATCGACAGTGTACCTACATTGAAACGTCAAACGTGATACGAGCTGGTCCAGGTTTCCGAGCCGATATTGGTGACACGAGGACGTGAGGCGCGAGACTGATGACTCTTGCGCCTTGAGACTCGACACCGACGACTCTGGAGATTTAGCACCGGAAACTGGTTATCTCGGAGCGTGAAACGCGTTATCCTCGAACCATAAGAAACGATATCGTCTGCACGTGCGAGAGTAGTGACTAGACTGAGGATTTTATGTATTTACAGCATATTTCAATGTATAATACAAAAGCAACAGCAAAAGAAAAATTCTAGTAAAGTTCAATGGGTTGATTAGCACAGTGGTCACTGGTGACCAGTGCCATTACACGAAGAAACATTCAAATTTGAAATAGTAGCTAGAGTGGGTGATCAAATTATTAGAGCTACTATGTTGTTTTTTTTTGTGTTCGTGTAAAAACAAAATCATAATATGTCGGTCTTTATACTGGGTAATTTTAGTTAACAATTGTCTACTAGAAATGCACAAAAAATTAAACTTAGAATAAGTAATTATGCAAAATACAGTGAAAATTGTAAAATTTTTAATTTATGTGGGTGGTTCTAATAATTATAATTTAATCACAAACGGTCAAAGTAACCACTGTACATGTCGTACATAAATATTCATAATCATAATAATACGAACTTACAATTAGTCAAATGGATTTCATCACGATATATCTGAATAGTAAACTTTAGATAAGTAACGCGACAATAATGTTGTCGTATTATTTTGAGTTCAATCAGGTTCTTAATACAAGAAACTTCCCAGCACGATTAACACGTACAAATAGTTAAAATTTTCACGGATTAACATATCCTTAAATATCCAATTGTTTCTTACTCCGATCCTTCAATGATAATAATTATTTACCTTCTATAGCAAAGTCATTACAATAATATAAAAAAAAAGGCAGAGAAATAATATATAAAGTAAAAGTAAAATACAATATATGAATGTAAATGTTTAATGGACAAAGACCAACTAAATGCACTAATCTGCTAGAAAAAATTAACCCTGATTATTCTGACAATCAATCCGAATCATTTCCCGGTACGACAAATCACAACCGTCCACTTAACTACGAATTACGTCCGCTTGTGTCGTTCAGCGACGTAGGAACTTCTCATCCAGCGGACTATTCGGCGATAAGGAACCAATAGAGAAGAAGTTCCAAAGGGGGGAGAATGCAACTCCACTGCAACCGCGTAGAGAAGACAAAAGGTAGACGCAAGGATTCCGTAGACGAGGTATAGCACGCCGGAGACGGTACTTCTAATTCAATTATTCAGTTAGGTCAGGTTAGCTCTAGTTGGGTTAGCGTCGGGCCGGGGCCAGAGGTTACTCGAGACACTCGTAACTACTAATTCCATTTACTTACAATAAGTCTCCTCTTCATTCGGCCCTTTGTCAACCACTGTATTTGATTAGCTGACAATTCGGTGGCGGGCTGCGTCTTTAGGAACTTTCGGCGTTATTGGGATCGTATTGCGGGCAAGTCCTTGTCTACAAAGCGTGCAAGGCCCTCAGACTTCGAAGATCCAAACTTAAAGATCTCTAAATTCGCAGACTCAACATTGAGGTTCCCAGACCTCGAAGACCCAAACTGAAAGATCTCCAAATTTGTAGACTCAATATTGAGGTTCCCAGACCTCGAAGACTCAGAGAGTCAAGCCGAAGACCCCAGGGTACAAATGACCCAGGCCCGTGACCAGAACCATGGGTCTTAGATCCTTACGTCCTTAGGAACTGGGGAACGAGATGTCTTAGATTTGAGTCCTCCGACCCAGATCGTTCCCTATTTGGACCTTAAGAGTCTGGGACCTCAGGTTAGGGTACTTGAATCTTTGGGTCTCCAACGTTGGATTCGTAGATTCCAGGGTCCTCAGACTTAGCTTCCACGGGTTTGGAGGACTCCAGAAATAGGTTCTTAAGTTTAGGTGTTCCAAGACTTGGTTCCATGAGATCTGCTGACTGAATTCTTTGGCTCAATGAATACTCGTTGCCCAATCCGTGGATGTGAAACATTCCAACGGAGACGGTGGTCACAGATGATTCACCGGAATGTTTCCTAACAGCGTCGCTTACGAGGAACTCTTCGAAAGTCGTTTCGCCAAAGGTTGAACGAGCGTTCAATCGTTTCGTCTATTGTCAAACGGTTCGGACCTTGAAACACGTTTATCGATCCCTTTGGAATGAGAACCGACGGGGCGTTTACGCGACGTTCCGTTACGACGCCGCAAGTGGTAATCTCGGTTTTATGGGAGGGTAGGGCGAAGGGGGTGGAATCGATTGGCACCTGTGCGAGAAAATCTGTCGGTGGTGTATACCGGCGGTATAGACGGCTGGAGGCCCTCTTGTTAACATCGAAAGGGCTGACAAAGGGGCGGGTTGGCTCTTAACATCGCGCTCCCGAGACGGTGAATAACCTTTTCTTCGCGAGGACGACGGGGGACGAAGGGGTGATGCCAGGGAAACGATTCTTGCCTTTTGAACGGTTCTTATTGTTGCTGTGACTCTCGTTTCTTTTTTTAAACGTGAAGCGCGAGGCTAATGGAAGGAGAAAGGTATTTCTGGTTTCGCGGAGTAATTCCCGAACGGACGGCTGGAACCGAGGCACTCGGGGAATTAAATAATTTACTGCCGGCGGCCGTAAGGATCGTCGGTGGACGTTGTAAATAGAGGAGCGAATGACGAAGACGGGTCGGTTGCTGGTTTTAAAGTGGAAATGTCGATGAACCGATTTCTAGATTCCTGGCACAGGGATTCGGCGGCTTGGTGTGCTATTCCGAAAGAGAATTAAGAACAACTCGACCCCGTGACGGGGTGGGGGAAGAGGTGCGGGGGCGTTCGTTACTGTAACGAACTTCTTTCCACGGATTCGTTTCGAATTCCAATCACGTCCGCCACGAGCTCGGAAAATCAGCTACTCGCGAAACATACTCCCTCGTCTCTACGCGGGAACCACACCCTCGATCTAGAGATACGCGATTAAGGTAACTAATTCCACGGTCGCATCCGTGCCACGTAGAATAATGTAATGCTCGCCGCGGGGCATGATATCGACAGAAGTACTTTCCCACGCGTTTGTATCAACGTGTGTTCGCAGATGAATGGCGGAATATTAATACTCGGTCGACGAACAAATAAATGATCGTATGGACATGTTAACCCACGTTCACATTAACCCACGTTCGTCCAGTTTCACACGAAAATAAAGGTTAGATTTTTAATTGTGCTTTGTATGTTAAAATTGGTAAATTAATTTAATTACTGTAATTTACTGATAATGAATATTCTGTGATTTACCGATAGGAAATTGGTAGGTAACGTTGTCTCCGTTATA